GGTAGGGGGTCCTCTGAGGATCTTGGTCTGGCAGAAGGGAGCTGGGGATGTCTGAACAGAGTCTCACTTGATGAGCAGAGGAGTTGGGACCCCTAAGTGATCATTTGTCCTCTGGGGACCACCAGTATCCCCCAGCAGGCATGAGGTGCTCCTGAGGGCCTGGCACTGCTTCTTGGCTCCAAGTAAGGGGGCATCTCTGGGCCTCCCCAGTTCCTGAAGTCCGAGTTGCCAACAATGCTTCCTGCTGCTCTGGCCTCCCCGGGCTGTGGCTGAGGGTTGGGTCTTGGTTCAGCCAGGGCACCTGGACTAAAGCCTGTGCCGGGGCCCTGGCCTTTTCTCCCCAGAATTAATCATCACAGCTGGTGGGGAGAATGTGCCCCCTGTGCCCATCGAGGAGGCTGTGAAGATGGAGGTGCCCATCATCAGCAATGCCATGCTGATCGGGGACCAGCGGAAGTTCCTGTCCATGCTGCTCACCTTGAAGGTGTGTCTGGGGGGCTCTGGCCCAGGAGGAGCAGCCGGTGGGTGGCCTGTGGGTCTGGCTTAGGCAGAAACCACATTCAGCCTAGGCCACATCTGGATCTCATGGCTCCAATCTGGAATAACTGCAAATAGAGCTGCCTTCACTAAGGGCCAGCCATAGCACACAGAAATTCCTTCTGTCCCCAGTGGTACACTTAATATACTGCTGTGATGATCCTTTACATGTGACCAGTATGTTCCAGTTTACAAAGTGCTGCTGCCCTCATTCCCTCAGCAGATAGTCTCCCAGGGCAGTAGACAGGGCAGGAGGTATTGTCCCTGCTTTACAAATGATGACTTCCTTGGCTGAAATCTTCCAATTCTCTGACCATTACTCCTTCCACCACACCATGGGGCTCAACAGTCAGGATAGCATCCTACTCATTCTAGAACCATCTCTTTCAAACAGAGCTCACAGACATCAGCAATAAGACCTCCTCAAAGACCAGAGCTTGGGTCTTCAGACTGAGGCTTGGGCCTGACTGATCTCTGACTTTCCAGTGCACTCTGGACCCAGACACCTCTGAGCCGACCGATAATCTGACCGAACAAGCTGTGGAGTTCTGCCAGAGGGTGGGCAGCAAAGCCACCACAGTGTCCGAGATCGTGGGGAAGAAGGATGAGGCCGTGTATCAGGCCATTGAAGAGGGGATCCAGAGGGTCAACCTGAATGCAGCTGCCCGACCCTACCACATCCAGAAGTGGGCCATTCTCGAAAGGGACTTCTCCATTTCAGGTGGAGAGTTGGGTAGGTGTCTTCTTTTCACTATCTCAAGGGCTAGGAGTGTCTGGGAGGTGCTCATTAAATGAGGCAGCCATGGCAAGTGCAGCACTTTGGTGACACCCACTTCCTTCCTGTGGGAAGATACTGATTGCTGTGGGCAAGGGCTTGTGGTTGTGTAGAACCTGTTGAATATATGAGATATGTGCTAGAACTTATTAATTAGGACAGATAACATTTAGCTTTGCCTTGACCATGAGACTATTTCCCCTTGAAATCACAATGAGAACATCAAGGCTCTGCTACCGTTTAGGCTGGAGTCACATGGCTCTAGGGATGAGACTACTGTGGGCTTCTGTAGAGTCAGCTCATGTGACAGGTAAGGAAGATGAAGCCCCTTTGAACCGTGGTACAGAGAACTAGAATAGACCTTTAGAGGCCTCTGGTGCAGCCTCAGCTGGAAGGATAAGGTCACTGTTGGCTGTAGTATCATGGGATGCTCATGGCACAAGGGAGAGATGGAAATGGCATCTTCAGTGAGATTCCCTCAAGCCCATCAAGGCTGAACCCAGATGTAGCTCTGCTCAGCCAATGCTGAGATGCAGAGTCCTTGAGCATATCTGGTTGGCGGGTGCTAACTGAATGCAAGGTCAACCAGATGGAAGATGCGCTGATATAGTATATAAATGACTTTGATTTTTACATCTCCAGTTACACAGCCAAGGGTGAGGAACAAAAGCTACCCAGGACCTCAAATCAAAGCCCTTTCTATCTTGCTTTACAGGGGGGCACCAAGGCCAAGAAAAGTGATTAGGGGAAGACCATGGCAAGCCCCCCAACCCACACCACAACCAGGGCTTGTCCTCTGTCCCATCATAACCAATCGAAGCATAATGTCCAACATCCGCATGAACTTTCACTGAAATGCAGAGATGATTTGTGTATTGGTTGTCTATTGCTGTGTAACAATTACCCTTCAAAACCTAGCAGCTTAAGACAACATTTTTTATCTGTGTCTATAGGTCAGGAACCCAGGAGCGGCTTAGCTGGGGGGTCCTGGCTGAGGGTCTCTCATGAGGTTACAGTCAAGATGTCTTCTGGGGCTGGAGAATCTGCATCCAAGCTCATACATGTGGTTGTTGGCAGGCCTCTGTTCCTTGCTGGCTACTGGCTGGAGACCTCAGTTCTTTGCCAGTGGACCTTTCCATAGGCTGCCTATGTGTCCTCACAATATGGCAGCTGGCTTACCCCGAGAAGAATGACCCAAGAGAGAAGAGCTCAAGACAGAAACTGCAGTCTTTTTATAACCTGTTCTCAGAAGTGACATATCACTTCCTCTGTACTCTATTGGTCACATAGACCATCCCTGGTACAGTGTTGGAGGAGACTACACAGGGTGTGGGTGCCAGGAGCAGGGGTCACTGCGGGCGTCTTGGAGGCTGGCTGCCAGTTTGTCTGGCTTAATTCGAGTTATAGGATTCATTCAGTCTGGATCTTACCACACACCTTCTCAGATTTCTCAAGAGCTCAAGCCTCACTCATTCCTTTCCCTTTCTCTTTTAGGTCACACAATGAAACTGAAACGGCTCATAGTTCTGGAGAAGTACAAAGATATAATTGATTCCTTTTACCAAGAACAGAAAAAGTAATCAGGGGCTGCCCTTCCAGTCTGTTAAATAGATGGCTGGCCTTTGGGGGCACTTTTCTGCCTCCAGAGCCTCTTCAGTATGGGCACGTGGACTTCTGGCATGTCTGTTAGCTCTCCAGGTGAGGGAGGGTATGGCTCTGCACTTCCATTTGCCACATCTTAGGCCAACAATAGCTGAAAATTCTGGAAAGCTTCACATGTGGATTCTTAGTTTTAATTCTGTTTTAAGTATTGCTTTTTGTTCGAGTGACAAGCGAAATCAGCCCTTCTCCAGAACTGATGAGCAGATCATTTTTGGCCTTAGTTCCAGGTAGATTTAACAAGCGGCCAGCTCACGTAACAGGCAAGCCGGCGCGGACTGTGTGTATGCCGCGGGGGAGGTGGTTTGTATTTTGGGTGTGTGCTGCAAGGAAAGTGGACAGCCATAACTCACCAAACAGCCTGACTTCCGGCCTGAGTTACCTGGAATCCTACTGGACACTGCCAACCCTATCATTCCATTGCCAGGCACTCCTCAGCCACGCACATGCCAACTGACTTGACGCTTAATAAAAATGCTGCTGTCTATTTGATTGTATTTAATGTGTAATTTGAATATTAAACCTTTTAACAGAGCTGTCGACAAGTACCTGAACTGTCAACTGAGCAGGCGGGATCTGTGCAGAGTAGTGGGTCAAACAGAACAGGACTGTGTGCAACAGAAACAGGAGTGACCACTAGTACCCTGGAGTAATAAGCAAAGGTGCAGGCAGGGTGCCAGTGAAGCATTCCTGTGAAGGCGGCCCGCCTGTCACCCTCCCACTGTGAATACTTTAAGCAGCCCATTCTTAGTAGCAAGCTAAGCCAAAATAACCCAAGGCACCTATACAGGAAGCAGGTAGAGAAAGCAGACATCTCAATCAGTTTTGGAATTCTTTATTAGTACGAACCCAAGAGCCACTGATAACTAGCACAGCCCAATAAAATAGAGGAAGCAGCAGTTTAAACAAAGTAAAACACATATTAGATTGTAAGATTGGTTACAAGTCTAAAAGAGAGCCCAGCCACAGACATTTTTTGCAAAGAAACTCCTTTTTAACCTGGGTACATGACGCAAAACCAAAGGTTTGCAATGAGTTGTCTTTGATGTGTGGCCAAAGAGTAACTATTTATGTAAATAGTGGCTTCCTGTCTGAAGTATAACAGAAATCACGCTAAGGAACTTGGCATGGAGGGGAGGATGGTGCCTGAAGGTCAAAAGCTGAGGCCAAACCCCTGCGTGGCACAATTTTGTGAATCCCCTCAGGCTGAGTCTGTGCCAGTCTCTACAATCTCATCTCCTACTGGTGGTTTTGAGGTGGAAGGCAGTGACTTGGTGCTTTGGGGAAGGTGAAGGAGCAGCTGCTGAAATATAAAATTAATAGCCAGCATCCCAAGTTCCTCAACTGCAGCCAAAATCTATGTGCTCAGGCCCTTTAGCAGTATCACTCCCAGGGGTATCAGCTGGAGTGTGGGTGTTTTCAGACAGTTACATGCACACCTCACAAGAGTAAATACACATTAGAGGTCTGCTCTATAGCTCACGTCAGGATTTAGTACACTGGCTCAAAGGCTGTGTTACTCAGGATGCTCAATACATGTCCAATTAAAAGGAAGTACCACCCCTTTGCTTCACTAGAAGCTCTCGCAAAGAGTATTAAACCTCAAGGTAACAAAATAATTGAACACACAATTGTACCTAATATATTACCTAAATTTTATTAACAAAATTACATCTCTCATTATACAGTTCTTGGATCTGAAGGCTTTATTCATACACAGTAATTCACGTAAAGGACAAATCTGTCTTGATTTTTCATATCACTAATATACCATATATCCCGCTTTTGAGGGGAACTTTCTCAGGAAATTTCTCTGTGTCCGTTTAGTTTTATAAGACTATCATCTTGTGCTATAATGTTAGTATCCTGTTTTACTTCCATTATATTTTTCATAAACCAAAAAGAAAAAAGCTTTTCTTTAAAAAGTTAGATGTTTTCTCTTATTAATTCTGTATCATGATATTTACAGTTGAGGAAAAAAAACTGTTTTAACTGAAGTTTAAAATGGTTAACAATGGCAAATGATACAATCCTCTTATTAAAGTTTACAAAAAAATGTTTACTAGATAGACATTTAATAAATAAAACAGCACTTGGAAAAAGTCCCTTGAAAGCAGGCCTAGGGGTATCACTTGCATCTTTTGCACAGATTCTGTTAAGAAGAGGCCAGACCCAAAAATGTACTCTGTCAAGAAACAAGCAAACCAAATGCATATATACGGTAGGTTTCTAAATATAGATTTATATGGTGTCCATTCAGAGTGATTGGTGTAAACACCACTGGTAGGAGCATTAATCTAAATCTTTTACTCGGCGACAGATTTCTTCTGTGAAGTCTGAGCACTTTGCATTGCCTCCGAGATCTTTTGTTAAGCTCTGAGAAAAGGAAAAGGCAGAGATGAAAATGTATACATGCACTAAACCAAACCAAGGCTATTTTCACTTAAAGGCCTCAGAAACACCAGCTGAGCAAGCTACTTGGCTACTCTCACTCATTTTGTTCTTCATTTTAAAGAGAGGCCCCACCCTACCACTGTTACCTTCCCCAGGAGCATTGGGAAAACCCAACAGATAGCGTACAAGAAAACACTCTGAAAAAAATAAGGTGCTGTCACTACAAAAGGAAGCAGGGAGGCTTTCACAAAACTTTCCCTTTGGACATTCAATAGACCCTAAGAAAATACACATTCAAAGACCCTAAGAAAATATTTGTTGATTATGGACATTTAAATAAAAGCAGATCTAAACAAAAGGTTTCATGAAGTCCTTGGGGGAATTTTTAAAACTTAGGATATGTTCTGATCCATCTTTGGAGGCAAGGAAACAAATACCAAGGAAATACTTAAATCACTAACTCTTAAACCTCCTCCCTTAGGAAAGAAAGTCTCTCATAAGGCTGATCTGTTTTCTACCAGCTTATCCTCTCTTCACCCCGGAACAGATTCTTCTGTGCCTTTGCATCCTACACAATTAAAAAGGACTACTGTGTAATTTAGGTTTCTCTCTGCTGGGTTCTACAGTGTAAAATCCCAAATGCAGCTTTGGAATAAAAAAACAGTAACATCATATACCTCCAATATGACTATCAGGCTATTAAAAACAAGCTTGGATTACTTGTATTTTGGCCATAAGAAGTAATCTCAAATTACAGAACTTTTAAAAAAAAGAAGGGACCCCAGACTAAGGATCAGCCCGCAAGGCCCAGCCTTGGGAAGCCATGATCTCTTCCACCCTCCTCTCACTTCCAGAAGAATCCATTGCACCCTCTTCCATGGGCCAAAGCTGCTTATGGAGGCAGTGAAGCTTGTTGGGCAAGAACCAGACTGGATGTGAACCCTAACTTTGCCATTTAGGAGCTGTGAGACCTTGAAGAAATTACTTAATCTCTTCATGCCTGTTTCCTCATCTATAAAATGGGATTACTTACAGTAGCTACTTCATATACAGAAGATTTGCTGAGATGATAGTTATAAAGAACATAGAATTGTGTAAGTATACAATAAATATTAGCCATTATTATTACTTTTATAAAAGTTCTGTATTACAGATGTACATAGTATAACATATAATATCACTATATGATAGGCACATCGCATCTATATTTGTTGTTAGATTCCAAGCTCCTTGAGACCCGGGACCTTATACTATTCATCATTTTATTATATTCTTCATACCCCATAATGTAAACTCAACAGATGTTTGTTGAGAGGAGGGAAAAGCTGCCTAGAAAATTAACAGACTTGGCCAAGATCAAATAGCTAATTAGGATAGGATACGATAGGAAAATTGGGCCTAATCCTGACTCTGACTCCCAAATCACTGCTCTTTCCACTGGACATGGATGCCTCTATATCAGTGCTTCATACCTTTATCTGATGAAATACCTGATGCTCTCCTCAGAAAATGCACGCGTGTGCTTGCACCTACACCCTGCAGTTTAATCAGGGAGCCTACAACAAGAAGCCCTGTTCAGCACCAAATCCTTCAACCTTTTTGAGAACAATTATCTTCATACAGATAAAACACATGGAAGACATACATTTTACCCAGCATAAGTCACTCTAGATTACTGATACCTTTCCATCTTTAATTGTAGCAAAACACGCAGCCTCAATCTTGGCAGCCTGGTCATAAAGCCCCATGTGGCGCAGCATCATCACGGCGCTGAGCAGGAGGGCAGTGGGGTTGGCCATGTCCTTGCCTGCTATATCCGGGGCAGTTCCATGAACCTACACAATAAGAAAAGTCACAAAATTGGGCATCTGGGGTCTTAAAAGCTTGCAAGCAGCCATCTGAGATGCATCAACTGGTCCCAACCACCTGGAGTAAAGGAGAATGAAGAACACCAAAGACACAAGGAAAGCAGTAGCCCAAGAGACAGAAAGGGCCACATAAACAGAGACAGCATCACCCTGAGACCAGAAGAACTAGATAGTGCCTGGCTACCACCAATGACCTCCCTGACAGGGAACACAACAGAGAATCCCAGATGGAGCAGCACAAAGGTGGGGTGCAGGACTCAAATTCTAGTAAGAAGACCAGACTTAATGGTCTGACTGAGACTGGAGGAACCCCGGAAAGCATGGCCCCTGGATTTTCTATCAGCCCAGAACTAAATTTCCGAGGCCAACTCTTCAGACAGGGATTGGACTAGACTGTGGGACATAAAATGATACTCGTGAGGAGTGTGCCTCTTAGCTCAAGTAGATACAAGAGGCTAAATGGGCAGCTTCTGTTCAGAGGTGAGATGGGAAGGCAGAGAGGGTTAGAAGCTGCTTGAATGGACATGGAGAATCAGGGGTGGAAAGGAGGAGTGTACTGTCACAGTATAGGGAGAGCAATTAAGAGTCACATAACAGTGTACATATAAATTTTTGTATGGAAAAATATTAAATAACAAAGAAAAGTCACAAAATTGGGAGGGAGACAAAAAACAAACAGCCCTCTTCTGAGAAAGCTGGAGGCTTAATCACCTTTCTCCACCAATAGAAAATATTTACTACATAGCTACTGTGTGCATTTATCAGACACAGAAATAAAAACTCAAAGAAATAAGGAGCTTAAAGTAATATAAAAAAAATTTTTTAAGTAAAATAATTGCCCAATCATCTTTCCCAACCAATTTCTGGCAAAATATTTTTAATGTGAGGAAAGAGATATAATAAAGAAATATCTGGGGAGAATGAACAAACAAACCAGGCTTATATAAAAAACACAAACAAAGCCTCATTTTCTTTTGACAATCTGAAAAACTCAAAATTTACAAAATATTTACACAGATAACCCCTCTCGAGTTTTCATGCCGCTCTGACCTGAATTCAGCTTCAGGTGTCAGGGTCCTTACCGACTCAAAGATTGCAACTCCGTTAGCTCCAATGTTGCCACTTGGCGTCACACCAAGACCTCCAATCAGTCCAGCACACAGGTCACTGGGGGCAGAAAGGCATTTCAATAACTATTTTGAAAAACAAAACATCTTACCTAGCAACCTACATTTTTGTTTGTAAATACCATTCTTCACTAAACAGAACCAGGGCTTCTCGGAGAAATGGCTGATTCCAGGGCTAGAGTTAAGAAAATGCAGGACGAGCCTGGAATACCTTGTGCCAGACAGCAAGCAAGGCTCAAAGAAGGATAGGCTGTTTCAAAAACAGTAACGTGTAAAAAAAAAAAAAATTGGCATAGCGGTGCTTACGAAAATACCTCACAGGGAGAGGGCGCACTTGGCAAACAAACATAGAAAGTGCACAATATTTGTGTAAAACTATGGTAAATAAGGGAGGAGAAGCTTTTCCGTATAAAAGAATGCCAATGAATAAAAGAAATGATAGACTTTGAAAATCTACCATTTGGCCTACATCATATGTCTGTGCCTGCGTGTGTGTAAGACGATTAACGTCCACCATAGTCTACTCATAGAAGCAAGTCACTAAGCGTAGACCACTTTCAAGAGGAAGGGTGTTAAGCTCTACCACTAGGAGAGGAAAATGAAAGAATTTGTGGACATATTTTAAAATCACTACTGTGTGTGTGTGCTTTCAGCAAGAGGAGGATGGAAAGGGAGAGAGAGAGAAAAGAGAGAGGGAGAGAGGGAGGAAGGGATGGAGGGAAGGAGTAATAAAGTAAAATGTTAACATTTGGGGAATCTGTGTGCCAAGTAGACCAGAATTCTTTGTACCATTCTTGCAATTTTTCTATAAGTTGAAATTATGTCAAAAACTTTAAAAAATTGTAAAAATGATCACCCACCTACAAGTTATACATAACAAAAGACTGAAATCAATCAATAAATAAAACATCTGAAAAATGGGAAAAATGAATAAATGATTCAGGGAACAATAGCTGAGAGCTGATTTGATACATAAGTGAAGGAGCAACGTACCTAATACTGAATCATTGATATCACTACCTGTATTGTTAGAATTCAATTCATATCGTATAACAAACGCTGTATTTGATTAAATTTTTAAGCCATAATTTATTTTAGGCCATTTATAAAAAAAAAAATTTGCCGTCGTGTTGATTCCAACTCATAGAACAGAGTAGAACCGCCCTAAGGAGTTTCCAAGGCTGTAAATCTTTACAGAAGCAGACTGCCACATCTTTCTTCCACTGAGCGGCTGGTGGGTTCAAACCACCAACCTTTCGGTTAGCAGCCAAGTGCTTAACCACTGTGCCACCAGGGCTCCTTATATAAATAAACCTTAAGCTAAAAGAGAAAGGTGCAGCTAAACTCACCTAAGGATGTCTCCATATAAATTCGGCATAACAAGAACATCAAACTGGGACGGATCTTGTACCATCTAAAAGGAAAGCATCATGTACATGTAGCAGCTGAAAACTGCACACCACACATACACACATATACACATACACACATACACACATATACACATACACACTGTACACCACAAAAAGGAGCACGTAAGTGTGAACACATACTTACATTCAAACATACTGTATCAAGGTACATCTCATTAAATTTAATATCTTTACAGTTTTCTGCAACTTCCCTGCATTTTTGCAGAAAAAGCCCATCTGACATTCGCCTGTATTTAATCAAATAAAGATTGTTGAAGATTTGCAGAAGAAAAAAAAGATCAAATCAAAGAAGTAAAAATCGCCTCAAGAAATTTAAGTTCCAGAAGCCAAGATGTCTGATTTCAGTTACAATAAAACTAATTTTTAAGCAGTTAGTAAAATACAAGTTGAAAATATTCTGGAAGCCCAAAAGGAAAGCTAGTGTGATCGTAACAGAGAAGACTGCTTTTATAGTGTTATTCGGCAAAAATTAAGAAATACCCATCAATAAGAAATATTAAACTTGTTTCCAAAGGTGAACTTATTCATTATTTCCATGGTTTTAGTATTTTTCATGGTCTTTTCTTTATACATTCAGAGATGGTCTTTAATAGACTGGGAATGAAGAGAACTTCAACTGCTAGAGTAAGGCATCAGATAGCGTTAGCACTATTAGCACTTACCATTTTAAGCCCCTGAGCAGGTGGCAATTTCAGAAACAATCCCACTATTCCACCTCTAAAACATAAATGAGTCTGCCCTTTGACCTTTGCGGCATTTGCTTAACTGGCCACAGCAGCTGGGGGTCCAGAGACTCCAGCTTCCTTTCCAATAACCCTCAGTTCCTCCTTAAAGGTACAGGACCTGTTTTCCTGCCCCCTCCAAATGTTCTCCTGCCATTCACCCATTAGTGAGGCACATCAGATATGAGACCAAAACCAAGAAGAGATGATAAGGCTTGATCCTCCAATTGGTTACAAAGTTACTTTTCAGAGACATTAGAAATCAACAAGCAAGCTGGACAGCAGAAACGAAAGCCCTGTCACTGTGCTCCCCATAAAGTGAGACAGCGTGCTGGCCCTCGCGGGGACTCACATGATGTTGGCTTTGTGGACAGCTGTGACATTGCTCCGGTGGTTGTTCCGGGCATACTCAAAGGCAAACTCAGCAATGCGCTTGCTCGCCTGCTCAGTGATAAGCTTGATACTCTGCACGACTCCATCGACGATCTGAAAGAGGGGAAATACCACCTCACTGGAAAGAATGGGGCAGCAACTCGGTACTAGACAGCCGGCTGCACATGGACAATATCATCTGTGGCATGCTTGTACTGCACCAGCTACCAGGGCCAGCACCACGCATACACTATCTCATTAAATGTTAACAAACTCCTGTGAGGTAGGTATTATAATCCCCACTGCACCGATGAGGAAAACGGAGGTGCAGTGATGGTCACTAGCCAAGAGCACATCTGGGAAATGGGGGGATTCAGGATTCAAACAAGAGGGCCAGTCCCCACTGCTGGGCTCTGAAGCATCATGCCCTGTTGCTGCTGGCATCCACTTGAGCATTGTTTCAGCCAGAGACCAGCACCAACACAAACACCCACAACTCCTCACAGAAGTGAAACTGGATCTGTCCTAGGGAGATAATGTCAACTGGGAATTTTTACAACTGTCCCAGGTGCACAGAAAGTAACCCAACTAAGAACAAAAAAGCCTCTGGAATGAACTTACCACATGCTCAATGCCACTATACTCTCCCTCCGTGTTCTCGCGAATGGTGACAATATTTACATCTGTGTAAGGGGTTTTATAGCCTTCGATTGAGACACATGGTCGGACGTTGGCATAAAGGTCAAATGTTTTACGCAGCAATAAATTCATAGATGGGTGACCAGCTGCTATTGGGGTCTTTAAAGGGCCTGTAATGAAGAAGAATACTCAGGTGACAAGACTCTAATCAGTTCCAGACCAGGATACGTTCGGGTCTAACACGTCACCTACTACCCCACCTGGGCTACCTTTTAAAATGTGTTGTCTCCAACTTCAACCTCTCCCTCAGATTCAAAGGAAGGAAGAACATTTCCTCATGGAAGCTTTCTAGAACATTAACTGCATTCCTTAATCATCTTAAGCACCTAGTGAGGACATTACCTAATCCTCACCACCATCCTATTGGGTAGCATCTACGTCGAAACCTGTGAAAGCCAGAACTTGACGAGACTGCCTTGTTTTTCCGGGTCTCACAAGTTTTCCACCTTTGACAGGTGCAATCTTATCACTTTTCCATTGCTCCCTATTAGTGGAAGATATTTGAATTCTCCTTCTCTGACAGGTTTCTGCTTTACACCGGCTCCCGCTTTCACAGGTTTTACTGTACTGTTATTATCATTAAAAAAAAAAAAGAAGAAGAAATTTGCCCAAGCTTTCCCACCAGTAAGTGAGAGATGAAATTCAAAGTTAGATCTGTCTGGATTTAAAGCCTGTGCTGAATGTGAATCTCTCCCATACTAGCATTTTAAATCTTGACCTTAAAAATGTATTAATCAAAATAATAATAAAAATTAAGCAAAAGATAAATCTAGGCAAGGATAAATACATACTGTCATTTGATGTTGGCCAGTAATACCTACTGAGGGGGAAAAAATGTTGCAAAATGAAAAACAAAGATCCTGATTATGAGTAAATTGCTTCATAAAAGGATGGCTTTACTTTAGTAGATGGTCAAGCCCTTACTGAGCTCAAATCCATAAACTTTCAAAAATATAAGAGCTGTAGCAGAAATCAGCAGTAACCATCTTAGCCACTTCAGTGCTACCTTTCAAGCCCATCTTGTTCTTATCCATGGACTCTTTGGCTTCTGGGGGGATCATCCACTTTCCTCCTGGTCCTTGGATGGCAGTGACATTCCGCTCCTCCCACTGAATAGGTGCCTAGAAGCCACAACACAGAGCACAGTGAACAGTCACACTACAATTACAAATGCTTCTTCAACTTTGAATGCAACCAGTAAAAACATGTACAATAAAAGTCCAGAAAGTTCCTGGCACACAAAAAGAGATGTCATTCTCCGGTATGCCCAGGGAGATTCTCAATATTACCCTTGCCCAGTCATCCGCTCCTAGCTGCCACCTGCCCACTGATTTTTTTCTCAAGGACTCTTAAGGTGGCTATAATTAGAAGACAATAAGGAGCAGAGAAATACGGTTCACAGAAACACTACACAGCACTGATCCATGCTATGACATGGATGAACCTTGAAAACATTACACTAAGTGAAAGAAGCCAGTCATACAAGACCATGTATTTTATGATGCCATTTATATAAAATGCCCAGAATAGGCAAATCCATACAGACAGAAAGTAGATTAGCAGCTGTCTAGGATGGGGAAAGAACCCCAGTGGCACAATGGTTAAACACTTGGTTGTTAACCAAAACAGTTGGCAGTTCAAAGTCACCAGCAGCTCTGCGGGAGAAAAGACCTGATGATCTGTTCCCATAAAGATTCAAAACCAACCAAACCCATTGCCGCCATGTCAATTCTGACTCCTAGCAACCCTACAGGACAGAGTAGAACTGCCCCATAGGGTTTCCAAGGCTGTAATCTATACAGAAGCAGACTGCCACATCTTTCTCCCACAGAACAGCTAGGGGGTTCAAACCCCCAACCCTTCAGTTCGCAGTCAAGCGCTTTAATCACTACACCACCAGGGTTCCTTTCTGTAAAGATTACAGCCTTGGAAACCCTACGGGGCAGTTCTACTCTGTCCTACAGGGTCACTACGAGGAAGAATTGACTCGATGGCACACAACAAGAGGGCTGGGGAGTAGGGGAGGTAGACGGCTGCAGAGAGTCACTGCTAATGGATGTGGGGGTTTCTTCTAGGGCGATGAAAAAATGTTCTAAAATTAGATTATGGCAATGGTTGCACAACTCTGTGAATACACTAAAAACCAACGAATTGAGTTGTACACTTTAAATGGGTGAACTGTATGGTATGTGAACTCTTATCTCAGTAAAGCAGTTAACCAGAAAAAAAACAGTGCACAACCTATGAAAGTAACAGTTTGAGGTAAAAACTACAGTGTCCCCATTTCTTTGTACCTATATCCTTCACGTGTGTACACATACATTTGAAAGCCAGCACACTGACTGAACATGTACTAGGAACAGGGACATGGAATAAGACACAGTCCTTGTTTGCAAGGAGCTCACAACTGCTAAGTGAAAGAAGATAATATTTCAATTCACTTGGGGAACTTGCTACTTTATAAGCACCATCTCCTCTGTAGGAGTTTTAATTATAAAGTCATATAGAAAAAAAAAATGTACATATAGTTTAAATACACTGAGTTCCTCAAAATTTATATGTGTTGGTATTCTAACAGCCACTGATTTAATTGTACACGTTATTTTACCTGGCAGCTATACCGAGCAATAATAAAGCATCATGTCAAGCAAAGTCCAAATTTCTTATATCTCTAAAACAAAAGTATTTTAAAATATCTGCCTGTACTGAAGGCTGGTCTATCAGAAGTAATTATACCACATTCTTAATACTACTACTAATATCCCATCAGAAATTAAAAAATAAAAAAATCTTTCAAAATCTCCTATATAATTTTTTGAAACATCAAATCTATTCTCTTTTCTGGCAAGAAGGCAGAATGAGGGTAGACAGGAGGCTCTGCAGGGCTCAAAGATCTACAAACACTGCAGTACTCCTCTGGTTAATTTATATATAATCGATACCAACGCAATCGCTTAAACTATCAACGATGACAGTGGCAAACAACAGTGAAACATCCACTGTTGGAGTTTAATAAGATCTGTGAAGATTAACCACAGATCTTATCAACTTCAGAGAAGCATGTACACTCCTCCTAAGAGTTTACAGAATCCAAATGGTAAAGAAAACTTTTCTATGAATTATTATTAAATGTATTTTTTAAACCCACTTACTTTGGCAGCATCAAAAATCTTCATAACTGCAGCTGAGATTTCTGGGCCAATGCCATCTCCTGGAATTAAAGTTACCGTCTGAACCTGAATATAAGAAATCATCAAAGAAGACATTAAGGATTGATTTTCGAAGGTTTCAAAGAATATCACTGATAAGAGAAATCCACTTTATGGGCGTCTCATAAGACCCAAATGCACTTTGGATCATCAAAGTGGAGGCGAGAAACAATAGACAAGAAACTCCACAATTCTACGCTATCTGAGTTAGGAGGTTTTAAAAAGGAAGGCCAACAATGCTCTTTAGATAAAACAAAAATAAACTACCAAGGAGACTACCCACATAATTTCTTTTCAGATGAACTACAAAGAGACTAAGTTTGTAAAACCAAAGACAGCAAAATGTTTCCATAATGTTCTCTCACTAAAACTGAGATGGTTTCTCATGAAGGCAAGCACTTTCCTTTCCATTGTGATCCTGGAAAGTTTAGTTTCTCATGCAACTTCTTCAATCTTACAAAACACTTTCAGACACATTTCTCGAGCATCACTGAGGTCTGTTAGAGCACTCAGAGAAAAATCATATTTCAAATCAAGAGAGGGCCTCTATTTTTCTTAGTCTAGAAAATTAGCTCCTTAAATGTAATCTGAATAATTAAGCTCATCAACGTTTATTTTTAACCAACCATGAATAGTATATGTGATCATAACTGCAGAGTCTGAGTTACACGTAGAATGACAGTAAGTGCATTTATAACGTAATATCAAAGATTTATTCCAATGGCTTCAAACAAAATGAAGCCAGCATTTCAAACGCAGAAAAGAACAAAAAAAATTCTACAGAGAAGTTAACTTCAGAGGATTTTAATTAGTTAAGATAAAATTCAGACCCTCTCTCTCTCCATTTGGGAACTAGATATTTCATTATTTGGGGGCTTTTTCCCACCTTAGGGGTATGGCCCAGACAATGGTCCCCAGCCTTTTCATTTCCGGTTGCCTTGAGTTACTTTTTTTTTTTAAGTCACTGATTCAAGTTTCTCTGGACCTTTGCCTTCCAGTGAGAACTCCTAGGCAGGCAGACTGATTATTTTTTTAATTTTTCTGTACGACTGAAGAAATTTTCTTTAAAAGTATTATCTTCTCTTATTTCTTCCAAATATAACCTCTTCCACCAGGCTAACATTTTAAAAAATGGACAGCCTGAATAAATAATAGTAGAGAGGAGCAATGATCATCTTACTCGTTTTCAGAAAGTGTTTGAAATGCTAGCTTAGCTATCTTTGAGCTTAAAGGCAAGCCTCATTCTGCATCTTTTGCATAAGCAGAACCAAAAGAACCTTTTGGCTTCTTCTTCCTGTTCTCCCAACACATAATAACAAATGCCATCAGTCCACGAAGAAAAAATCTACTTTTTTTCCACAGTACAGGAAGCAAATGGGAAAAAAATATACTATGGTCTTATAAATTCCTCATAGCTTAAGATGTTATATGGGAGTACAGGAATTATGAAATCCAAATCAGATACCTTAGGAAGAGGGTAAAACAAAAACCAGTGGGAATTCACTGACCCACAGCCTTAGAATGCTCTAAAAATGTGGTATCAGCTTTTGAAGCACAGAACTAATGCTGGGGATTCTAAAAGCAGCAGATTTAATGAGAAAGAGACGACTCACCAACATGTAGTCTATAAAGACCACATAAGGAAAGTAAAAGTAATATAGGGCTCATGGATGTTTTCGGTATTCCTAACTGGCAACCAATCTACTGTTTTTAGGGAAGCTCACAAAATAAAAATGCAAAGCAAGTTTGAAGCTTCTCAACAACTTTCTCTCAACTTGCACTACTTTTGAAAAACTGTCTTACCAAAATGAGACTGTGAAATGAAGTAACAGGCTCACGGGTACTTTCTATCTATTTTTAACAAGGCTGGTTCAAGATATTAACGTGACAAGCTTACATAGCCAGCTGTAATATAATTCTTTTAAATGTATAAGTAATCTAATAGATTTATGCATATGGTAGCCAATAATTTTAATATACAGTATAAGTATGGCAGATTTTCTCCAGTTTCAAATAAATGGAGATAATGCTATATGATAGCACTATAATATAAATAATATAATACAAATTTATTAGTGTATCTTTCTTGAGAAACTTCTAAAAGGAAAAAAATAAAAATGTAATTATACTCACGCCACCAGAAAAACCTCTGGTCACCTGTTTTGGGTTGTGGAATGCCCCCAGCAGCCGAGAGACCTACATCAATATCAACAGAGAAATGTCATGCAGAGCGTTAAGCCGCTTACAGTAAAAGGTGAGATGGAGGCATTTCTGACAGCTAACCACGCTGCAAGCTTACACAGGTATCTTCGGAGACTCCCCAGGAATACTTTTCCCATGTGGCAAGCTATCTCAGATTTGAAAACCGAAATATTCAGTTTGTCTTTGCTCTGTGAATTTAAATACTATATGCTTTCAGTCAACTTTGTGAATACAAGTTGTCAAAAGATGTTGAGGGTAAAATGAAGTTGTACCATTTTAGCTCAAACATTTGGATTTTTCTCAGATGATCTGGGAAGCTTACGCCAATGTTCTTGACCACTGGGGTCAATCTGGGGATAAGACATACTCTAAGAAAATTATCACTAATTTTAGAGCCAGGAGGGTCCTTACAAAACCCAGAGCCTGCTCATTTTACAGGGGGGGGACACTGGACCCAGGGAGTAAGGATTTGTCACAGGTCACACAGTAATTAGCAAAATGGAAACCAGATCCATGTCTCCTGACTCCTAGTCCGACTACACAATATGACTATTCTTCTCCCGTGAGTATAAAGACATTACACTTTGTAATAAAAATCTAAGAAAGTTTATTTCATAACATTTGACACTTGTGCCATACAGAATAAGGACTTTCAATAAATTATGTATTTCTTCTGATAATAAAAATAATATGTGGTCAGTTAATGTTAATTTGCTAGGAGCAGGAGGAAGACACACACACAAAAAAGAAAAAGTCACCCAGTAATCCCACCACCCCAACCACTGGGACTTTTTTTTCCACTTAACACTTTATCTTACGCTAGAAACATACATTTTAAAAGGTTATTTCAACTTGAGAACTGGTACAAAGTCATATTACATTATAATAAAAAGATATAATCCAAGAGATTGGGTACATAGACCAAAGGTATCAAAATCCAATGAAAAGTTTAAAGGTATCTTTTTGTCATGCTAGCTACATAAGCAAAGATACACTTGTTATATCCTCTTTTTGGCTTCTTTTTTGAAGACAGTTCTTATAAGGCTGGAACCTTTGCTGAAATATTGGCATCTACTAATGATGAGACATCAACCCACAGCCAAGAAGGCATGAATGAATTGTATTCTCTCATTCTCCATTCTGGCACCCACAAAGTCATGTTGCTGGACTGAAAATAAAAGACAGGGCCAGACCCAAAAGAACACTCTATGCCAAAACCATTGACCAAAATCTTAATCCTAGGACATGATCCATCCACCAGCAGACAGGAGGTAATTTAAAGGCTACTCTGTGATAAGCACTGTTATACAATTTTGCATGAGTCCTTCTCACCACCCCGAAAAGAGGGAACAGACATCCACACAAAACAGGCGCAGTGGTTAAGAGTTCAGCTGCTAACCAAAAGGTTGGAAGTTCGAATCCACCAGCCGCTCCTTGGAAACTCTATGAGGCAGTTCTACTCTGTCCTATAGGGTCGCTATGAGTCAGAATCAACTCAATGGCAACGGGTTTGGTTTGTTTTGGTCCTTGTAACAGAAGATCAGACCAAGAAAACTGATTTCAAATGTAAACCCATGAGCACAGGGATTTTTATTGGTTTAGTCCACCGTTGTTATCTCCAGTGCCTGGCTCATAGTAGGTGCTCAAAAAATATGGGTTGAATACACGGAGGACAGCCTCAACCATATCTCTATCTGATGAGTTTTTACCCCAGCAAACAGCTTAATACTTGCAATGATTTTCTGTAACAACCAGTCTTTTCCATGTTTGTCATCTCTCCTTAGATCTTTCAGTAAGGTGGTACTACATCTAAGTCATTAGAATGACCCAGAACTTTAAGGAAAAAAAGACCTTTTTAAAGCAGACTATCTATTTTATGATAGACTTGTACATATATTACATCATTTTGTTTCTATAAAACCCCAAGAGATAGACGGTAGTGGCCCTTTCCAGATGAGGACACTGAGGCCCAGAGAGGCTTGGGGACTTGGCTCACAGAGCCTGGACTAGAACCCTGAACTGGAACTATGAACTTGTGACTTCAGGTTCTGAGCCATCTTAACCCACAGCTCCTCATTTCCTTTTTCACCTTCACACTTCAACTTAAAAACATAAATACAGAATTGGATGTATGGCAGGTACTCACTCAATAAGTGCTTGCTGATGGGGAACTGGCTCATTATAATTATAGTATTTTAGAACCAGGAAAGTCTTTAGAAACTCACTATTTTCAGTGTGTGAAAAGCTTTTTTAGGCTGTAGATCCCTTTTTTCAAACAATATCTTAAATGGAACCCCAATAAACTGCTCTGATTGAAATTCGCACTCAGCTCAGCCCCACCCCCAGGTCAGCCTCTGAGGCACCCTCTGCTCCAATATCTGAAGAGAAAAACTGGCCCACAGAGGTCAAATGACTCTTCTTCCAAAGGTCACACAGGGAGTCTGTGTCACAGAACCTCCACAATTCAACACTTCCTGAACACCTTTTTTCCCTTGTAGACCACACTACAGGTGAAACAAAAATTTCCAGCGTGTTCATTATCAACAGTGCTGCTTCTGTCCCTCATTCTGAAGACTTAATGTACCTACCAAAGATAAATCAGTGTTAAGTGTAAGCTCAGTGATGAAAAGATTTCTGTTTGGACAGTGGCATGGATTTGCTTTACCTTCTTGAGCAAACATGACATAATTTACCATCACAAGCAACGCTGGGTCTGAAGAGGGTAACAAAGCAGAACCTAGTTACTGAGGAAAAAGCCAGTTATTGAGGCCCATCTGTCTGCTCAATGACCACAAAATAAACATATTGATAGCTAGAAAAGGTTTAGATTGTTGTGTTCCGTCTACATGTACTAGGTGCTTTCACATACATTATTTAATCCCTAAACAACTCTGCAAGGCAAGTATAGATATTTTATAGATGAGCATACTGAGGCTCAGAGATGGTAAGTAATTTGCTCAGGGTCACACAGCCAAACCAGTGGCATTCCTAGGATTCCTAAGACTCCTGAACTCCAGTGTAAAGCTCTTCTCACTAACAATGCAACCCTGGCCCTTTCTTTAAACTCAAAACAAAAGAGAAAAGTACTACATTTTATAGGAAATAAAGCGCTTAAGGTAGATTTCTAGGAGGTCATCCATTAAGAGCAAGAGAAGACCTGTGGCTTGTTTTTCTCTGTACCCGTAATTTGCTGTGTGACCTTGGCCACAACAAAGCAGGCAGAATGGGACTGAGGACTGGGAATCAAGACACCTGGATTCCTCTTCCAGCTCTGACAGAGACAACCTGTATGACCTTGAGCAAGTTTTGTCTTCAGGCACAGGTTTCCTCCTCTGAGGAACCTGGAAATTCTGAGATGATGTGAAGCCCTTTCCAGCTCCGGCATCCCAGCTGTCAAGGAGAGCTAAGTTCTCTAGATCACAGGATTCCCACCAATAAAAGACAAAGTAAGGCGCTGCCGGTCTCCCTCCTCAGGGTTCAGATGGGAATTCCAAGGTGTAAGGTGTCCTGTGTCCTTTGAAGGGAAATAGCTACAAGAGCACCAGGTATCAGGCTGGGGAGCATTTCAAGAGGAAAAAAAAACTGGCAGGAAAATGGCCTTGGGATTCCCTCACCTGGGAAAGCCTCCCAATCCCAAAGGTCGTGCCCGAGGCCCCAGAGGTCACCGGGCCGAGGGCCGAGCAGACACCAGTGGGAAGGCCTGGGCCGTGCTGGAGGGGAACTCTCTGAACGATCAGGACTGCAGCGGGCCGCAGCCTCGTAAGCGGCCGGGATGGCCGGTCCGGGGCAGCGGCTCCCTTCACCTTCCCAGGCTCGGCGCGAGGCCTGAGCCCCCGCCTGGCCGGATACAGGTAGCGGCACCAGGGTCTCGCAGGGAATGGGGCCGGTACCCCAGCCTTGCCCTTGACGCCTCCCCCGCCTCAGGCGCGGCTATCCCTGCGCAGAGGTACCCATATCCGCGCACGGGCCCCGGCGCCAGCAACACGCGCGGCCCAACTGGCGTCCAAATTCTCCCCTGCTGGCCGCGCGCCGCCCCCCGTCCAGGTTCGCTCCCGCGCAGCACGTGCCCCGCTCGCCAGGCTGCCCTCGAGTCCCGCCCGCCGCCACCTGCCCGCCACCCCCCGGCCTGCCCGGAGCTCACTTTGGAGATCCATGCCGGCCCAGCCATCGCGTCCCCTTCCTTCACAGCGGCCACAGCGGTGGGAATAGTGCGCAGCCGCGAGGCTCGCGCCTCGATCCCGCCCTAGCCCCGCCCCTGTACACGCGACCGTCTCTCTGGCCAATCCCCGCGCTCGCCTCGCGGTGACGCGCGAAGCAAACGTGGAGCTATGGCCCGGAGGGTGCCTGGCCGGGATTTGCGGGAAGCCACCTCTCTGCTTTCCTCTGTCATTCATTGATTCGCTCACCAGTGAAGACGTTTTTGTTTGGCGCCTACCAAGTGTCAATCACTCTTCTAAGTTTTGGAGCTAGAGCTCCTCTCATGGAGCTTACAATCCAGTGGAGGGAGACAGTGTATTTATTTCACAATTATTCATTTTCATTGTTTAACAGTCTTATTGGGGTATAGTTTATATTCCACAAAATTCACTCTGTAATTGTACAAGTTTGATAATTTTTAGTAAACGTACACAGCTGCACAACCATCACCACAATCCAATTTTAGAACACTTCCATCACCCCAAAAAGTTCCCTCCTGCCATTTGCAGTCAATTCCTGCTCCCATCTGCAGTCTAAGGCAACTATTAATCTGCTTTCTGTCTTTGTTGTCCGTTGCAGACAAGAGATTCCGACGTGGCAACCCCATGTGTGCAGAGTAAAACTCCTCCATAGGGTTTTAAGGTTGTGACCAGAAGCAGATCACCAGACCTGTCTTCCCAGGCGTCACTGGGTGGGCTCCAACCCCCAAACAGCTTGTAGTCCAGCACTTAACCGTTTGTGCCACCCAGGAACTCCTACAGTTCCACAAATATTTTTTGAGTGCTAACTGGATGCCTGGTACTGTTCTAAGTGCTGGAGTTTACCATCCAGTTGGAAAGACACGTTATCAATCAAGTATCACACAAATGTATAGTTTAAAACAGTGATAAGGGTCAAGAAGCAAAAGTGCAAGGAGCTGTGAGAAGGCAAAATCAGGGGACCTGATCAAATCTAATACTGAGGACACAGAAGGCCTCCCTGAGGAAATAATATCCCCACTCATCTTCCTTCTTACCCTCTCCCATCAGCCACAAACAGGCCTGAGGGCCAACTGACTGCAGCACACCAGGGAGGTAGGGTGATTTAGACCTGTTCACCCCCACCCCCACCCTGGAAAGGAATTTATACAGGGAGGAGCTACCCACCCACCCAGAAAGGTGATGAATGCGGTAGAGGAGTGATGTCAAAGGTTTTCACGCCATAAAATAAATAAACTACAGCTTAGTCTGTGGCCTTGTTAAGAAGGAGGGCACTCCTTCTCTTCGGCTCTTGCCCTCATTAGGCTCTGGCAGTCCCACACTGACGTGTTTCTCTGCCAGTCCCCTTCCCTCTGTCCCCACTGCGACCCTTGCCCTCCTTCAGGTCTGACCATCTTGTGCCAGATTATTGCAACAGCCTCCTCACAGGTGGCCCTGCCCCTTCCAGGCCTTCCTCCCCACCGTCCTCTCCTTCAGACACAGCTCGGACCAGGTTCTGCCCTGGCTCTAAAACCACCTGGCTCTCCCTTGCATTTTCCTCTCACCATTGTCTGCTTTCAACCTTATTTCCTACCACTCCATCCAGCCCCAAAGACCTGGAGCCAGCCAAGCAGGACTGCTGGCCAGCCCCCAAATGCTTCCCATATTTTACCCCTCGGTACCTATGCTCCTGCCATTCCCTCTGCTTGAATGCCCTTTTACCTCATTCCTACCTGTTGAAATCAAGACTCAGCTCAGATGTTGGTTCCTTTGGGAAGCCCCAAGACCCACCCATGTGTCCTCTCTCCCTTGCTCAGAGCCCCCCAGCACTTGGTTGCCAACTCTCCTGGGAGCCTTACCACATTCTCTCCTGCTGTGGTACCATTCAGAAGATCTTCCTCGAGCACAGAGACTATCTCTTATGACTGCTTCTGGAATATATCAAGGATACTTGCTGCCTGGTGATTATGTAACAAATATTGAATGACTTTCTCCAATCTCCATTTAACCCTCAAACAGCCCTATGAGGAAAGTGAGGTATGGCTAGTAAATGACGATGGCAGCATTCACACTAGCTGTTGTTGCTGTTAGGTGCCATCGAGTCAATTTTCAACTCATAGCAACCCCCTGTGGCAGAGTAGGACTGTCCCGTAGGGTTTCTTAGACTATAATATTTACAGGAGTAGATCATCAGGTCCTTCTCCCATAGAGACATTGGGTCGCTTTGAACCGCCAACCTTTCAGTTAGCAGGACCAGGGCTCCTTATTCACACTAGCCAAAAGCCACTGCCGTCAAGTCGATTCCAACTCATAGCAACCCTATAGGACAGAGTAGAACTGCCCCATACGGTTTCCAAGGAGCAGCTGGTGAATTCGAATGACAGACCTTTTCGTTAGCAGCTGTAGCTCGCCGTAGCTCTTAACCACTGCACCACCAGGGCTCCTATTCACACTAGGAAGCTTCCTAACTACTAAGGCAGTGCTCTTAATTTCTAAGTTCCTCTAAAAGACCACCCAGTTCAGCAAAAGTTTCCCAACTGAGCACTGGGAGGACATAGAGATGAGTATGACCCAGCCCTGCCTCCAGGTCTAGTTTGGAAGAAACAGTAGAACATCAGATGGTGACAGGTGCTTTAAAGGTAGGAAAACCATAAAAACCAAACCCATTGCCTTCGAGTAGATTCTGACTCATAGCGACCCTATAGAACAGAGTTGACCTGCCCCATAGGGTTTCCAAGGAGAGCCTGGTGGATTCGAACTGCTGACCTTCATGGTTAGCAGCCGTAGCTCTTAACCACTAAACCACCAGGGTTTCCCTAAAGGTGTGAAGGAAGGGGCAATTGATTACAGTATATTCCACTACGGAGACGGAATCAACTCCACGGCAACTGGTTTGTTTGTTTGTTTAAGAGGTACCAGCTCAGGCTAGTTTCAATTCTGGGTAATACTTTGAGAGACAATAACAGAGCCACGAAATGGTGGGAGGCAATATGATCAGCAAGGTATGTTTGGACCAGAGAGTGGGAAAACTTTGCCACTCAGGAGAAGGATCTACAATGTGTGCCCATATCTGTGCCTATGGCACTACCCAATACAAGTGTGCTTCACTCTAAGAAATTTTTTTAAAGGATAGTGTCTTAGTTATCTAGTGCTGTTATAACAGAAATACCACAAGTGGATGGCTTCAACAAACAGGAGTTTATTCTCTCACAGTCTAGTAGGCTAGAAGTCCAAATTCAAGGTGTCAGCTCCAGGGGAAGGCTTTCTCTGTCGGCTCTGGAGGAAGGTCCTTGTCATCAATCTTCCCCTGGTCTAGGAGCTTCTCAGGCACAGGGACCCCAGGTCCAAAGGACACGGTCTGCTCCCTGAGCTGCTTTCTTGGTGGTATGAGGTCCCCATGTCTCTCTGCTCACTTCTCTCTTTTATATCTCAAAAGAGATTGGCTTAAAACACAATCTAACCTTGTAGATTGAGTCCTACCTTATTAACATAACTGCCACTAATTCCATCTCATTAACATCATAGAGATAGGATTTACAACACATAGGATGACAAAATGGTGGACAATCACACAATACTGGGAATCATGGCCTAGCCAAATTGATACACATATTTCTGGGGGACACAATTCAATCTATGACAGACTGTGTTTTTTAAATTAATAAATTAGTAAAATAGGACAAAATTATGCATAAACAAAAATGTTCCTTTTTTTACAAAAGGAACACAAATTCATTTCAACAGTTTCCCTAGTTTATTTAAAATATTATTTTCATAAAAATATGACTGGCAAAGGGTCAATCCCTACTTCCATTTTAGGAAAAGTTCAAACAAACTGACAAAGAAGATACTAGGACTTTAGTAAACAAATAGGCAAAGGACCTGTACAATCAATTCACAAAGTAATACAATGAAGAAACTTTAAGAATGTTCAACCTCACCAGTGGTCAAATGTATGCAAATTTTTGAAAATTAGGTAACTCTTTTATCCCTTTATTATTCTAAGGTCTTATACTGTCTTGTTTATGGTGAAACTGCTACACCCTAAGTTTTGGCTGGCCTTATAAGTTTCCATCACCTTTTTGGAAAACAGTTTGGCAATATGTCTCAAAAGCCTCTTTCAGGTTGTGGAGAGACTGGAACACTTATACATTGTTGGTGGGAATGTAAAATGGTATAACCACTTTGGAAATTGATTTAGCGCATCCTTAAAAGCTAGAAATAGAAGTACCATATGATCCAGCTATCATGCTCCATGCAATATATCCTAGAGAAATAAGAGCCATCACATGAATAGATATATGCACACCCATGTTCTTTGTAGCGCTGTTCACAATAGCAAAAAGATGGAAACAACCTAGGTGCCCATTAGCAGATGAATGGATAAATAAATTACGGTATATTCACACAGTGGAATACTATGCAACAATAAAGAACAACAATGAATCTGTGAAACATCTTACAACTTGGAGGAATCTGGAAGGTATTATGCTGAGTGAACTTAGTCACAAAAGGACAATTATTGTATAGGACCACTATTATAAAAACCCAAGAAAAGGTTTAAACACAGAAGAAAGCATTATTTGATGGTTACAAGGGTGGGGAGGGAGACAGAAGGGTGTTCACTAACTAGAAAGTAGACGAGAATTATCTTAGGTGAAGGGAAGGACACCACACACTACAGGGGAAGTCAGCACAACTGGACAAACCAAAGCTAATAAGCTTCCTAAATACAACCAAACACTTCAAGGGACAGAGTAGCAGGGGCGGAGGTCTGGGGACCATGCTTTCAGGGGACAGCTAGGTCAACTGGCATAACAAAGTTTTTTAAGGAAATGTTCTGCATCCCACTTTGGTAAGTGGTGTCTGTAGTCTTAAAGGCTAGCGATCGACCATCTAAGATGCATCAATTGGTCCCAATTCACCTGGAATAAAGGACAATGAAGAACACCATGGAGACAAGGAAAGTATTAGCCCAAGAGACAGAAAGGGCCACATAAACCAGAGACTCCATCAGCTGAGATCAGAAGAACTAGATGGTGCCCGGCTA